AAATTATTTTCTAAAATATTGTTTAATATTATATTTATAATTTAGATTAATATAGTGATATAAGTGCTCCTGAATTTATCAGAGAAATCTAGGATTGTAATACTCGTTTTGAGGATATCTAATTTATATTTATAAATTAAGAATCTTCAATAGTTAGAGATCCTTAATTGACACTAATTAAGTATGTGGAAAACGTAGAGTCTTTAATTATTAATCTTTAAATTATAATACTCGTATTAATACCATTAATTAGAAGAGGGGAAGTATTTTGTAAATTTTTTATTATTAAATTTTAAAATCCACAATCAACAATCGACAACATAGATTTTTAGAGTTAGAAAAATGACACTGATTAGATGTCAGATAGATTTGTTATTTGATTCAAATAATCAGGATAGGTTAAGTTAAAATTATTATTATGAATATTAAATAGAGTAACATTAGAATTTTAGATATTCAAAAAATTTGAGTTGGCTTAGCCTAAAATATTGGTTAACTCTCCTTAATAGAATAGAATCTAGTTTAATAAATTCTAATTTTCTGATTATCTGAATATTGATTAAAAAAAAAAATTAATATTATATTTAATTTTCATTATTTTATGGTAATAACTTTGTGTTAATTAATATTTATCGAATCATAGATTAAATGCACACATGGTGCTCAAAAAAAATTAAAATTTAAAATTAAGTGCGCATTTTTTTAATTTTTGATTCTGGGCACTAGTGCGCATTTATACAAAGTTACCATTTTTATCTTAAATTAAATAATTTACATTATTGAAATCGCGGAAGAATAAGAACTAAGTGTATAGATATTACTAAAGTTAGATGATTTACACACAAAATTTAAATTTGAGTTTTGTGAATTTATGTAAAATGCACCACCATCATTCTAAGCATAACCTTCTGTAAATGAAGATTTTTCTATAAAAATATTTGTTTCTGAACTAAGACTCTCTAAGTAAATAAACGAGCCTTAGCTTGCTGTGGATTTGCTAAAATTTGAAGAAAGAATTTACAAATTGCTTGATTTAGCCCTTAAGCAACCTCCTTATTATATTAAAGTTGTTACATTATCTGTGATATTAAATGAAGATTGCTTGCAATTAGCATTAATCATAGTTATATTAAGACCAATTATATATTGAAAATTAAAGATACTACTAGATACTGAATTAATATATTGGTTATTAACTAAATATATAGAACCTAATGGATTAATTACCTGAATTGCAGAAGTTGAATAAGTTTAGGTATTAAGAATTGCATTTAATCTATTTTAGCTAAAAATTGAGTTGCTTATTGTTATATTAGAAGTATAAGTGGAAGTAATTAAAATTGGATTAGCTTAGGAGTTAGTTTAATTTTATTCAAAATATGAACTTGTGATAACTACTTTTGATAAATTTATTACTGAATTCGTGTAAGCTTAATTTCTTATTACTAAAATAGAATTACTTATTGCTTTTATATAGCTTGATTATAGATTAGTTATGCTAATCTTTTTTATTTCATTGAAAATTAAACATCCACCATACTCTCTATTGACTAAACTATCAAAAAATTTTTTGTCATTTAAGCAAGAAATATTGCTAATTGAGACTAAAGAAGATTAGGATAATGAACAAAATGCTATTTCTTATTGGTTTTTTAATGTAACTTCATTTATAAAAACTGAAAAAATTTGTTCAGTTAGAACTAATTAAGTAATTCCAAGGTAGATGTCTGATTATACTTAAGAAGAGGGAAAGTAAGAATTATCAGAGAAATTTAAATAACTCATATTTAAAGTGTGTTAGGGAAGAGGATTTATTGAATAAATAGCATCAAAAAAGAGATAATTGTGTGTTGTATAAAATGAGTTATTGTACATAGTTATATTCTAGAACTAAAAGGTATAGTTTTTTTGTTAGATTGTGCTGACAGTTGAGAATATCTATAAATTACAAAACTGATTATTGGATATTTTCATATTAGCTACATTGAACTCACCAGCTTCAAATAGCTAACCAGATAATTCTGGATAGTAAATTTAATTTATATCGCATAGATTATTTTAAATTATAAAAGTATCAATAATAACATTAACATCGCTTTCTTAGGTTAATATACTGAATTTTTCACTTATATTACAGCTATCTATTAGAATATTTTAAAGTGCAATCTATTTAATATAATAAAAATATTTTATTTTTAATTTAAAGTTTAAAAAATTACCTATTAAGAATTAACGATTGTTATTAAAGTTGATGTATTTGAAAAATCTAAATTTTTTATGTTTATATTTTTAATAATCAAGAAAGAATTATTTATTTAAAAAAAGAAGCAATCAGATGTATTAACTGTAGAAGATATACTTATGTTATCTATAGTAGCACTTGAAATAATACCATCGAAATAGACCCCACACTTTTATTAGGAGCTACTAATAATAAAATTAATAAGTATATCATGAATGTTTAGCATAAAGAGACCCGAGAATTGGAGCAACTAATTTACATTAATTTAAGCTAATTGATTATTATTCCAGCTCTAAATTGTTAAATTTGTTTATGCAAAAACTTATAAAGTTAGCAGTTCATTATAAAATACCATCTAATTTTAGTTGCTAAGTAATAAATTAACGTTTAAAACTTCAAATCCGTTTATTAATTCGAAATATTATTAAACCTATTTTTAAATAGAAAAATACTTTGGTAAAATATTTATTTTAATCTAAAGATTTACTAAAAGTAAAGATGAAATTATACTCAAAGAAGATGTAAAAGGCTATTCTAAAGAACCTATCCCATATAGACTTTTAGTATCAATAGTTTCAGTAGTATTAAAATAAAACTACATTTAGCATTTCTAAGTACAACTAGGTAAGTTTTAAAGACATTATCCAATAGGGAAAAATGTATTACTATAGTAATATTAAATAAATAAAACCTAAGTCTTTTCTATATACTGAATATTATTTCCAGCATCTGTTAAAGAAGGAGATTGGAAATGCATAAATAATTCAAATTATTAAGTAACTGTATTAAAATTACATAAATAAACATCTCCGCTCATTTAATCTCCAACTCCAAACATATTAATTTTATTCAATACATTTAAATAGTATGGATTTGACTTTAGCTTCATTAATGGTTAAAATGTTTTTTTAGAGAAATTATAGATAATTATATTGTAATCACCACAAACTATTATTAGAAATTTATTATCATCAGTATGGAATAATTAACCAATTATTGAGTCAGAACAATCGGACGCTTTTTATCAAAATTAATTTTTTAAATAAATAAATTAAATAATTTTAAAAATAATTTATTATTATTTTTTTAAAATTAATGAAAAAAAACATTTAACTGTTGGGATAGAATTTTATATTTCATTAGTTTATTTTCATCTAAAATGAAATTAATTCTCATTTTGAATTTTAAGTTTGATTTTATTGTAAGATTACCTATTGAGTGTTTGAATGAAAAGTCTATAGAATTCCAAACAAAAATACTTCCATTAACAGCTATTCCAACGATTTCTTAATCTTCTTAGGAATAGAGAGCATAACTTGTTTTTTGATTATTTTCTTCTACTATATCAGAGAACAATTGAAACGATTATTAAGAGATAATATTTATAGCATAAAATAAGAAATTTTCATTATTTTATTTTTAAGGTAATCCTACAATAACCCAAATAGCTTGATTAATATCTAAGTAGGGATCAATATTGAAGCTTATTGAATCAGTATTAAGATTTAACTAACTTAAATCATATACCTGTTTTTATATTTATAATAACTTTAACATTTTTGATTAAGATAAAGAAAGAAATAATTACTTAAGGAGTGAATGATGAGTCCATTACTTTATAAAATGCTAAGTATGTAGCATCATGCATAGCAATAAAACAAGTATTACAGTTTTTTACAGAAAAAAATGTATTTTATCTTGCTTTGATTGACTAAACAAGAGGATAAGTAAGGATAGATTTTAGGTTACTAGGAGAATCTTTAGTGACTTAAATATTATATAATGTAGAAACAACAAAGTATATTTCTTAATTGAGTTAGAAACTAAATATTTTTGTAAAACCTGTAGAAATATAAGCTTAATTTTATAGTATAATGGTTAAAGTAAATTTATTTTTGAAATTTTATTTTTACTAAAACGAGTGAGCTAAGTGTCTGTACTATATGAATAAACAAATAGAGCTGATTATTAAAAGAATCCAGTGTAGTATGGCATTACAAATTATTGACTTTCTTCCAAATGATACCATTCATAATATGGATTTCCAGGTAGTTGAACAGTAAGAGGTTAATTGATATTAGCAAAGCTAAAAGAATCAAATGTATTTGTATTCTAATTATAGACAAAATTTAAATCTATTCTATAAATAAACGTTTAGCTACTACTTATGTATAAACTGCCTTAATTATTTTAAGAATTTATAAAGCTTAAACTGACTATACCATCTCCTGATTGACCACTTGGTAGATCTATTTTTTAAAATTTTAAGAAATTTATCATGAAAATTATTATTATATTTAATCTACAATCAGCCAAGATTAATTTTATCTAATTCGCTTATAAATTAATGATCTAGAAAGCACTAATTTGACAATAGGCTCCTGCTAAAAATATAATATCATAACTCTTGTGGAAATCTATTAAGCTATAATTATAACCTATAAAATAAAATAGAGTGAAATATTATACTTTAAATGAATTAAAAAATTAGTTATACGATCTGGCGAATAATATCCATTGAATGAGAATTCTAAAGTTTTAAAATTAATTGACCAAGTATAAGCACCATACTAATCAATTACTGCTATAAAATTCTAACCATTTTAAAGCTAAAGTAACTTTGCAGAAATAATATGATTACCACTGTCAGAATTAAAAGGTGAAATATTCAAAGATAGAATTTATTTTCCTTCTATAAAGTCAACAACATATAATAAATATGTTGAACTTTTTAAGACACAATAATTAGATCCTTTCATTAAATGCATACTTTCTAAATTACTGAATGGTATTGTTTATTTAGATTCAAGAGTATAAGGATCTACGTATATTAGCTATTATGAATTCAGAACTAAAATTTGATTTCTTTCTTGTACATACTCCATTTGAAATATAACGTATTTAGCTTTAATAAAATCAAAATTGTTTTAAAAAAGTATAAAATATTTATTTAAATTTACTCTTAACCACATTCACAATATTATCAATTTCATTAGAAAGATCATTGTAATATACTATACTCTAAGACTATACACCGTTTTAATAAAGTACAGTGTTTATCAAAAGTATATTAGTGTTAGGCAACTTCAAATAATTAGAAGCAATATATCCCTCAAAAAATTTAGGTTCTGTTTTTTAAAATTTATATCATAATGAATTAAAATATTAATTTAATCTTACAGTGCTGCCTAGAAAATGCTTAACATATTTAAGCATTTAAGTTTTGTATTGATTACAATAAGATTATTACTGTTAAATTCAAAGTAAAAAATGATTTACTCATATTAATAGATATTTTTTAAACCTTCTATTATTACTATTTTTAATTCAAATATAGGTTAAGATTATTGAATTATTTCGTGGAGAGTTTTTTAAATTACTTCAAATGTTTATCGATTATTATTTTTGATGTTTCTTATTCTTTTCTTTTCTTCTTATATCTCAAATTTAGGATTTAAATGTACACTTCTATTATTGAAATTAATCTAAAAAAACTAAAAAATATTCTTTCAACCTTCTATTATTCTATTTTTAATTCAAAAAGAGGTTTTGAGATAAGATTATTGAATTATTTCGCAGAGAATTTTTTAAATAACTTCAAATATTGATTAATTAATTACAATTTTTGATGTTTCTTATTCTTTTATTTTACTAATTATATTTCAAATATAGGTTTTGATATAAGATTATTGAATTATTTGGTGGTGAGTTTTTTAAATAACTTCAAATGTTTATTTATTATTATTTTTAATGTTTCTTATTCTTTTCTTTTATCTAAAATATATATCTAGAAAGCTACCTCTAATCAATAAAATACTATCCTCAAAATTTTTAATATAAAAAATTTAAAGTAACTTTTTTAAAATTACTTAAGTATAAAATAATTTTTACCATTTTAATTTTATAATTTTAAACTTTAATATCTCTTTCAAAAAATAATTCGAACATATATATTATTGATTCAGTAAATTTAAATTAATAAAAATTTGAATTACTGAATGCTTATTTTTAAATGGATTTTAGATAGCTTTATTAAATACATGTTTCTAGAATTAAAAAAAATTTGTCAATTCAAAATAATGAAAATACTTATATATTAATTTTTTTAAAAGAAAGGAAATAAAATGAACCAATTAATTATTATAATATATTAAAATTCATTTATAATCTTTAAAGAACAAATATTTAGAATCTTTTTAAATTTAATTAGTTTCATTCTTTTCTTTCTGTATCGGGATTAAATATGATCTACTAAGAATCAAAATAATATTTAGACTTTCATTTTCTATTCGTACTATCTAGGTTTTAGTTTATGTTATATATATTTGTTTGAGATAATTATTGTTCAACTTTTTAGATTTTTTTACTGCTTGGCCGTGTAGATTATAAACTATGACTACTCTTGTAAATGCTTTAAGAAAAAACAGAGTTCCTTTTTCTTCTATTTATTTACCATTTTATTTATTTTTAAGAATTAAATTGTGGCTGGCCTTGTGCATTAGGAGCTTGGTAGATAATACTAATTGATTATATTTCTTCGTTATTATCTAAATTCTTATCCAGATTGTTATTATTAACTATATTTTAATCCATTTTTTTGTAAAGTTATTCAGGTGAGGATTTTGGTTATACCTAAGATTTACTCTTTTTATTTTTAATGGACATTACTAGTGATTTAACTAAATAGATACTATGAGACTTTTAATAATAAAAATAGTAAATTATGCTATTAAAAATCCAGTAATAGCAACAATTATCCATTCAATTTTCATGCTTGTATTTTTGTTTTCATCTTAAATATCCTTAACTAGCAATGAAGCACAAATTTAAATGGCTATCATTAAAACTTCCTAATAATCTGCCACATCTGATAAGGATGTTTTAACATCAATTTCATAGCAAAAATTTTAATTTTAATTAACGAAAACACCTAATTTTTTGAACGAACACTATTCTTAGTTTTCTCAAAAATATAATTCAAGATAAAATCATCATAATAATTAACGAGAAAAGCTATCAATAGTGGCCAGAGAATTTGAAAGAATTTAAAAAAATAAGTAAGACTTTATGTTATTCCCTAAAAATTAGCTCTTACAAAATAATTAAAAGAAATAAGATAATTAGCAAAATTAGAATAAGTTTAAAACAGATAAACAGAATTTAAGTTTTAATTAAGAAAATTAAAGTTTTAAAGAATCAAATCAAAGCTTTAAAGAAAATAATTATAGCTTCAATGAATAATACCAAAGCTTTAAAGAGTAAGAATTATATTTTAAAGAATAAAGCAAAAACATTTATTAAGAACAACTAAATATTAGAGGAGATAAACAATTTACATAAGATATAAATTAAAGCGAAAGTGAAGCTAATCTAGATTAGCATCAATTTAATCTTATAAGCGATAAAGATAATTTTTTTGAAAATTTTTAGTAGAGTTTAAAGCAAGTAAACAAATAATAGATATCTTATTTTATTTCTGATAAAGCCCCTATTTATTTTGATTAAGAAATAAAGTAAAGTGAATTAAATATTTCTAATGCATTGGCTTAAAATGAGAGTTTTGAATAAAATAGATAATTTTAGTAATAAAATACAGGAAATGTAAGATTTTTAACTCCACAACCAACTGCTCAAAGCTCTACAAATTATGAAACTTTTTCTTATCATATTGGCGATTAATTTATAAACTTTCCTCATTTTGTTACCAATACTGAAACAATCAATATCAATAAATAAATAAATAAATAAATAAATAAATAAATAAATAAATAGAGTTAAAAACCTCTATCTAACTAACACCATTCTTGCTAAAGCAATAATAATTTTAGTTAGCAAAATAAATAATTCTATTCTTACTAGTATCAGTAAATTTAAAACTGAGTACTAAGAATTATAAAATGATGTCAATATACGAAATAAAGTTAAAAAATTTGAATAATTATTAGCTAAAACAGAAGATTCTAATCATTAATAAGAATAAAATCAAAAAAGAAGTTTTCTGGGTCAGAAAAGGAAAATAATTAATTAAATCTTTAGTAAATTGAATAACTCACATTAAATTCAACCACAATAGTCATAGCAAAAATAAATATTACAAACCAAAACAAATTTTGAAGATTAAAAGTTTGATTCTCATATTTAAAGCCTTTCAATATAATTATCATAAAAAGAGAGAGATATTGCTGATCTACAATTAAATTTAGAAGATAAAGAAGTTTAAATATCAGCACTCTAATTAAAAAATAATATCTAATAACTTTAAAATGAATAAATGAAGTAACAGCTTAAAAAGGCATTAAGTATTATTGAAAACTTTTAGCTATTCTCTAACAATTTCGCAAAGTTAAGACAATGAGAGCTAAGCAAGTAAAAAAGAATTTTAGCTAATCAGTTAAACAAAATGAAAAATTAATTACAAATTGTTAGAACAAAAACTCATTAAAAAATATAATTTTATTATCACTCAAATTCATAATTTTAACAAACTTTAATTTAGTTTACATTTTTAAAAGATAATTTTAATCTAAATACTTATTGTATGTTTGTTTGTTTATTTGCTTATAATTTTAACTTGTTATTTAAGAAAAAAATATCGTAAAACCCAACAATCTACTTAATTTATTATAACTTTTAAACTAAGAAAGATGTAACAATTATAGATATATGACTGGAAAGAGCATAAAAAATTATATATATAAATAGGATATACATAAAAAAAATAAACGTAGTTTATCATAAAATTTAAATTCAATTAACGTAATTTCCTTTATTTTTTTTAATTTAATAAGAGAATTTTTAAGCAAAATAATTATTTTTTTTTCTCTTATTAAAGAGCACCGACGGTATACTACTATATAAAAGTTAGCTTTAAATTTTGTTTTATAATTATGGTTTATTATTTTAGAATTAGCTCATCAACCTCATTTAAATTTTTGTTTCTTTATTGCTAAATTAAATTATTAAGAAATATTTATATTACCTCAAATATATTTTTTGCAGAAACATAATTTTGAAACAGGTTTTGTATAACACCTCTAACTAAATTATTTTACATTTAAGGATTATCTTCAAGCAGATCAATCAAGATATCTATTTATTCTTCTAACTACTTCTTTCCTTATTATACTTAAATTTTTAAAATATTAAATACAATCTCTATCATTAAATTTTAAAATAAATTATAATAGTAAAGGTGAAAGAATTACAAAAATACTATCACCTAAAACAATACATTTATAAATTGATTAGTCCACATCATAAGCGCCATGTATATATCCATATTTTATCAGAAGTTTTTTTTTAAGTGAATTTAAAATCTATTTTTAATCGCCTTTAAATATTTACTTGCAAGTAAACATTTTATATAAAATTAATCCAAAAGACCAAACGTCTATTTTATTGTCATATACTGAGCCTTTCTTCTTAGCAGATAGTATTTCAGGAGCCATATAATTTGGTGTTCGTATTAATGATTTTAAATCACATTATACCTCTTTAGTTAGTCCTTAATCTGATATTTTAGCAATTATTTTTTTTCCATCATTTTGGATCAATATATTTTAAGGTTTTAAATCTCTATCGCCAGGTTTAATTCTTTTAATATCATCATGCCTTTAGTAATTTAAATTGCAATATCTATAACTTTTATTGCTTATTCCAAAGTCTAAACTTCTTGTTATTTTTTAATGAGATACTTGTAGAGATCCCCTTGATTACAGTATTCAATTACTATGAATTTCATTTTTTCGTTTTCACTACTTTAGTCATAAATTTTGACTAAATATTCTAAGTTTTCAGAATATTTATCTTAAATCTTTTTTAAGACTGCATAATCTACTTAAAAACCTTTTATTTAAAAGAATTATTTTAACGTTTACCATAAAAAAGTAACCAAAAAATATAAAAAATTATGTATTACTTGAATCCTTAAAGTATTCCTTAATAACTACCTGCTAATAATTTTTTAAATCGATTGCAAAATATATAGAGGCTTATCCTCCTTATATTTAGAGATTTCTATTTTATTAGTATTTACTCTTTTCTCCTTCAAAAATTCTATTTTACATTTATAATTTAATGGATTTACTATTTTTCATATATTTATCTAAATTTATATCTTTATTAAACCTCTTCCTTCAAACAACAAAGTCGTCTAATTAATTAATTGATAAATAAATAAAACTATTTTACATCATCAAAGTTAACTTTAAATTTATTTTTTTTGTTAACTTAAACTCATCCACATATTTTTGATATCTAATATAAAATAATTTAATTGAAGCTCCTAAGCAATCATAAAACTAAATATTTTTATGTATGTACCAAAATAAATTATTTGGGTTAAATTCTATTTTAATATGGCTTCTATCATTATTTAGAAAAAAACTTTTGAATCTGACCCTCTAATAAAATAATTAATCATGAAAATAGTTTTTAGGATTTATAAAAATATTTTAAAGGAGAGTAAATTTTTTTTATTTTTTAGTGAATTTAATTTAGTAAAATCTTATATGCAAATTTGATTTGCTTAGAGTAGATAGATACCTTACATAGGCATGTAATTATTAATAAAATTATTTTAATTATTGTTATGTCATGTAATAATTAATTGTAAATATAATTACTTTTATAAGATATACAAATGACTGATAGATAAATCAACAAAAGTTATAAAATTATCTATGGTTTATTGATAAAATTTGCACAACATTAATAAAATAATTTGCTATTCAAATATACTTAGTTACTAAAATTTATTAAATATGAAATTTAATACATGTTTAGAGAAGATTATAAAATTTTTTATATTCAGTACATTCATTCATTGTAAATATTCAAATCTTTTATTTAATTAATATCTATCTATTTTTAAATCAGTTTTTGTTTTGTTTATAAAAATAAATAAATAATAACTTTAGATTATAAATAACAATAAAAGTTTTGCAAATATTAGTAGAAAAGAAGCTATATAAATAGGAATATTAAGCAATGTCAGCCAAAGTTAAAGCATAATTAGCAGAATCTCTTAATTCTATTCACGATACTTACTTACTAACTTAAATTAACGACTTTTTAATTAAGATATCAATCTTCATTTGATGAATTGAGTAAATTATAATATTGAATTCATAATTTATAATCAAATGCCAATAAATAAAGTTTAAAATTTATGAAAAAGCTAGCTTAAGGTTTTAATAGTGTTATGCAATCTTTTGATAATACGATATTTTAATTTTCTGCTTCAACTAAATTTAAATTTAAACAAAGTTAGTTAGTTTATTCATCATTAAAATTTATTTTATTTTCAAGAATTAGGCATAGAAAATTTAGAGAAATAAGTAGAGAGATATTTGGCTCAAGACAGCAATTCTTGTGATTAAACTAAATCACAATTTAATTTGAACTATCATTACAATCTTCTTGTAAATTTATTTTTATAATAAAGAGTTTGTAATTTTTTATTTATAAATAAAATAGCTTTATAATATACTTAATATATACCAATTTAGGAAGCACATTAGGTATTTCAAACATAACTACTACCTAATAAAATAAATGAAAATTAAACTTTATAAATTTTAAACTATATATTTAAGTTTATATCATTCAAATTTAGTTTAATTTTAAATCAATTATTAATAAAACTATTAAGAAAATTAAAGTTTTAATTCAAAAGAGTGGTTGATTTATGATATGTTTGTTATGTTTTTATTATATTAATTATTTATATATTAAATTAATTAAAAAAAATAAATAAATAAACCCAAATTAATATTAAATATCAGTATATTTTTGGAAAAAAAAAATGTAATAAAAACATTTTAATTTTTTAGTCTTTGAAGTAATATTTCATAATATATTTATTTTAAATACTTTTAATAATATTCCTAAATAAAAATAATTAGTTTTTTATTTTACTTACAGAACAAATAAAGCTTAATATTTAATATAAATATATTATTAATAGGGAAAAATGAACTTTAATATTGATAAATCTTTATAGTTAAAAACAAAAAAATAATATGTATTATAAACATTTAATAATATTTTCATATTTAACTTATTATCTATTTCATATTTAGTAAAATAAATTAAATTATTATCTTTATCCACCTGGTTAACAGAATTTTATTTTATTTATTCATTAGAGTTATCCTCTTTATCTTTTTAACTCTCTTTCTAATCGATTGCTTTATTTAATTCTTCAAATTCTAATATTTAATTAAAAAATTTAATGATTAAAAAAAAAACTATTTTTTTTACATTAAAAAAGAGGAGATTAGTTTATCTAGCTGCTATATACAGTATTTGGGTTATTTTCATTATCTTTATCTATGTAATCGTATTCAGAGTTTAATTTGTGTTAATTTTCAATAGCTAAGTATTTTTTTTTTAGTTTTATTAATTTATTAGTGTTATCATCTTTATCTTTTTAAATATCTTTTTATTTACTTACTAAATTTAAATCTTCAAATTCTAATATTTAATTAAAAAATTTAATGATTAAAAAAAACTATTTTTTTTACATTTAAAAAGAGGAGATTAGTTTATCTAGCTGCTATAAACAGTATTTGGGTTATTTTCATTATCTTTATCAATGTAATCGTATTCAGAGTTTAATTTGTGTTAATTTTCAATAGCTAAGTATTTTTTTTTTAGTTTTATTAATTTATTAGTGTTATCATCTTTATCTTTTTAAATATCTTTCTAATTCTTTACTAAATTTAATTCTTCGAATTCTAATTAATATTTAATTTAAAAATTTAATGATTAAAAAAAAATATTAAAATATTACATAAAAAAATAGGTGATTAGTTTATCATGCGTGTAGATACAGTATTTGGGCTACTTATATTATCTTTATAAAAGTAATCTCTTTCAGAGTTTAATTTTTGTTGATTTTGGGTAGCTAAGTCATTTAGTTTATTTTATTTAATAGTTTAATTAATCTACTAATCTTTAAATAGTCTTTTATGATTTTTACCTATAAATTAAATATATTAAATATAACAAATAACAAGAGTTTTAATACCTATTTATATCTTTAAGCCAGATAATAAAAGATCATACTTTTGCTCTTCACTAAGATTTAAAAATTCTTAAAAAATTCTTTTTATTTTAGCTTTCAATTACGGATTTAATTTTTATTTTTGAAACTTTTGAGCAAGCAACTTTGTATAAGAAAATTTTTAAAAAAATGAAATGATAACATTCTTAAATTACATTATAAGTCCTATAATAACTCTTTTAAATATTACAATAATAAACCAAGCATTGATTGTGATTATAAGTATAATAGAAACCATTACGTAATAACTGAAGGGATTATTGCTAATGAATAAACAAAGTAATACAGAAACTGCACACACGTTTGTTTGATAGAAATCAACTGTATTGTACCCACTCAAACGATAGGGTTATAAAACACTAGATGCTATCCCATAGAGAGAAACCACTATAAAAATTAGCACTCCTTTAACATTAATATCTTGGGAATAGAAATTAAGAACTATAATGATTATCATTTTTTCTAAAATTTTCACGGATTCCCAATAATATTTTTGGCTTTTATATTCTCTGTATAAAAAGCCATATTTCTTATATACTTAAATGTTTTGCAAGTCATTTTTATTTCTGTATAGTATATAAAAAAGTCCAATAGGTATAATAAAAGCAAACACTAATAAGCAAGGAGCTACTAAGGTAGAACTATAGGTCTAGTATTGGCTAGTGTTGCATTCATAAGTTATATTATAGAGTATATAACTAGAATCTCCAATTACCCTGCATGATAGAAGAGCTATCATTTGAGAAACTAAATCAGGCTAAACTAAAATAAATATAAAGATTGCAGCAGTACAAATAGAATAATAACGAACTTGTATATTTGTAAATACCCTTTATAAAATTAAACTAAGTACAAACACCATTAAATAGCCAATTGGAACCATTAGAGTAAATAGTAGTTTAAGATATATCATTGGTATATCTGTTTATATATCCTTTAATATACATTCAGCGGAATTCATTTATTATCTTACAGGTGTTCCTAAATACTATGAAGTATCAAATATATCTTTTGTTTGATAAAATTATAAATATTATTTTCATCTTAAAAAATTTAGTTTATATAAATAAATAAATAAATAATCTTGATTGATAAATTAATAATTTTAAAATTAAAAAATTTTAATTTTTTTTACCTGTAGTTAATTTTATATTGAAAGTAATAATTGATCCTATTATTTGTAAATAGTTTATGAATACTTTAATATAAACACTAGCTTTTTCTCCATTTTGAGATTTTCTATCTTTTTGGTTATCATATTTGACATTTAATTTAGATTAATATTTAGTCTCTTTTAAGGAAGTGATTTGATTATTCTTTAATAAGTGTCTTTTCAGAGCTACTTCAAAAGCATTTATTGTTTATTCCTCTAAGTCTCCTTTTATGGCAAGTCGAATTGAAAATAATGTCCAGATTACTATTAAGATTGCTTTCCACAATAAATTACTCAATTCTTTACATTACCCACATTGATGAGATCCAACTTTAGAATAGCTTTCTCCCCAATAGCTTCCATGAATCTTATTAATTTTAAATTTATTGTTTAAGTAATATTTAAAAAATTGTATTTACATCACATTCTTCACATAGAGGTCCTATGTAACCTTCTAAGCATGCTTAATTACCATAAGTATTTCCAATACAGTTTGAAGGCTTATTTACACATTCTATAACAAGAGGACTACTTTCATCTTTTCTCCAGAATCCTTAATTTACATATATAATTCCATTTTTGCATTTTGCTCCAGAAGGACATTAATAACATTATTATGTATCGAGAGAGTATTTATCTTATTCACAGACAACACATTCTGTATATGTATTGTAAAAATTCTCAATTTCACCATAATTACAACTTCTAAAATAAACTTCTAATTCATAAGAATAGTTAGACTCAAATTAATTAGTTTATTTATTTAAAGTTTTTATAACATCAGATTTGAACTCAATTATTGCTTATGAATTTGGAATCCCTATTAATTACATACCTTAAAAAACAAATTATTTTTATTTTAAATCAACAAATGCTGTAGAATTTCCTCTAATGTAATAATTTGATAGATTTTTTGTTTTGATGCTAAATTATGCTTAAATCATTATTTTATCAGCATCTAATGGAAATATTGGTTAAGCTGTTTAATCTTTTAGCTAAAAGATTATATCTGGAATTTATGCTCCACTTTTAAAATTTGATAAAATTAAAGAATTAGTTGACTAATTGAAATATTTATTTAAATCTGTAGTCATGATCAAACCTAAATGATCAGGATATGAATTGATATTATCTCCATAAAGAGTGGCCTAGTTATTTAATATAAGGCTTTAAGAGTCTATAACTGGATTTATACCTAGATTATTAATGCATCCTCCGATAACTGCTTTGTTATTTGATAGATTTGTTTTTTAAATTTTGATCTATTACTGTACTGTTGATTCACTTTCTGAGCTAATAAATAAAGCCCCACCACTTCCATTTAAAGATTGATTGTCAGTAAATTAGCAATTAGACAAAGTTAAAGTAAAAACCTATTTTTAGTGTGATTAAAAATTTTAAATTATTTTTTTAAAAAAGTGATATTACATCATCATTTTAGGCTTTTAAAAACATAGCTCCTCCATCTGATATGGCAGTATTTCCAATTATTTGAGTATTTTGTATATAATTAAGATTAGAAACCAAACCATTAACTGATATAGCACCTCCGCTATTGGCCTATTTTTAAATAAATATTTAAATTACATAAAAGCTTGTATGATATTAAATTATTTTAATCACTTTTGATTCTAAAAACATAGAGTCAGATATAAAAAATTGTGTTTAGTTCAACTAAAGTATAGAGCCAAAGCATAGCATGCAAATTATTTTCTAAAATATTGTTTATTATTATATTTATAATTTAGATTAATATAATGATATAAGTGCTCCTGAATTTATCAGAGGATTCTAGGATTGTAATACTCGTTTTGAGGATATCTAATTTATATTTATAAATTAAGAATCTTCAATAGTTAGAGATCCTTAATTGACACTAATTAAGTATGTGGAAAACGTAGAGTCTTTAATTATTAATCTTTAAATCATAATACTCGTATTAATACCATTAATTAGAAGAGGGGAAGTATTTTGTAAATTTTTTACTATTAAATTTTAAAATCCACAATCAATAATTGAGAGCATAGATTTTTAAAGTTAGAAAAATGACACTGATTAGATGACAGATAGATTTGTTATTTTATTCAAATAATCAGGATAAGTTTAGTTAAAGTTATTATTATGAATATTAAAAAGAGTAACATTAGAATTTTAGGTATTCAAAAAATATGAGTTGGTCTAGCCTAAAATATTGATTAAATCTCCTTCATAGAATAGAATTTAGTTAAATAAATTCTAATTTTCTGATTATCTGAATATTGATTAAAAAAAAATTTTAAATTATATTTAATTTTCATTTTTTTATGGTAATAACTTTATGTTAATAAATATTTTTATTAAGTATGCATTTTTTAAATTTTTGATTCCGCGCACTAGTGCACGGTACGCCAGATGCGCATTTATACAAAGTTACCATTTTTATCTTAAATTAAAATAATTTACATTATTGAAATCGAGGAAGAAGAAGAACTAAGTGTATAGATATTACTAAATGTAGATGAATTACACACAAAATTTAAATTTGAGTTTTGCGAATTTATGTATAATGCACCACCATCATTCTAAGCATAACCTTCTACAAATGAAGATTTTTCTATATAAATATTTGTTTCTGAACTTAGACTCTCTAAGTAAATAAACGAGCCTTAGCTTGCTGTGGATTGGCTAAAATTAGAAGAAAAAATCTACAAATTTTTTGATTTAGCCCTTAAACAACCTCCTTATTATATTAAAGTTGTTACATTATCTGTGATATTAAATGAAGATTGCTTGCAATTAGCATTAATCATAGTTATATTAAGACCAATTATATATTGAAAATTAAAGATACTATTAGATACTGAATTAATATATTGGTTATTATCTAAATATATAGAACCTAATGGATTAATTACCTGAATTGAAGAAGTTGAATAAGTTTAGGTATCAGGAGTTGCATTTAATCTATTTTAGCTAAAAATTGAGTTGCTAATTGTTATATTAGAAGAATAAGTGGAAGTAATTAAAATTGGATTAGCTTAGGAGTTAGTTTAATTTTATTCAAAATATGAACTTGTGATAACAACTTTTGATAAATTTATTACTGAATTTGTGTAAGCTTAATTTATTATTGCCAAAATAGAATTATTTATTCCTTTTATATAGCTTGATTATAGATTAGTTATGCTAATCTTTTTTATTTCATTGAAAATTAAACATCCACCATACTCTCTATTGACTAAACTATCAAAAAATTTTTTGTCATTTAAGCAAGAAATATTACTAATTGAGACTAGAGAAGATTAGGATAATGAACAAAATGCTATTTCTTATTGGTTTTTTACTGTAACTTCAGTTATAAAAACTGACAAAATTTTTTCAGTTAGAACTAATTAAGTAATTCCGAGGTAGATATCTGATTAAACTTAAGAAGAGGGAAAGTATGAATTGTCAGTAAAATTTAAATAACTCATATTTAAAGTGTGTTATGGAAGAGAATTTATTGAATAAATAGCATCAAAAAAGAGATAATTGTGTGTTGTATAAAATGAGTTATTGTACATAGTTATATTCTAGAACTAAAATGTTTAATTTTTTTGTTAGATTGTGCTGACAGTTGAGAATATCTATAAATTACAAAACTGATTATTGGATATTGTCATATTAGCTACATTGAACTCACCAGCTTCAAATAGCTAACCAGAGAATTGTGGATAGTAAATTTAATTTATATCGCATAGATTATTTTAAATTATAAAAGTATCAATAATAACATTAACATCGCTTTCTTAGGTTAATATACTGAATTTTTCACTTATATTACAGCTATCTATTAGAATATTTTAAAGTGCAATCTATTTAATATAATAAAAATATTTCATTTTTAATTAACAGTTTAAAAAATTACCTATTAAGAATTAACGATTGTTATTAAAGTTGATGTATTTGAAAAATCTAAATTTTTTATGTTTATGTTTTTAATAATCAAGAAAGAATTATTTATTTAAAGAAAGAAGCAATCAGATGTACCATCTGTTGAAGATATACTTATGTTATCTATAGTAGCACTTGAAATAATACCATCGAAATAGACCCCACACTTTTATTAGGAGCTACTAATAATAAAATTAATAAGTATATTATCAATGTTAAGCATAAAGAGACCCGAGAATTGGAGCAACTAATTTACATTAATTTAAGCTAATTGATTATTATTCCAGCTCTAAACTGTTAAATTTGTTTATGCAAAAACTTATAAAGTTAACAGTTCATTGTAAAATACCATCTAATTTTAGTTGCTCACTAATATATTGACGTTTAGAATTTCAAATCCGTTTATTAATTTCGAAATATTACTTAACCTATTTTTAAATAGAAAAATACTTTGGTAAAATATTTATTTTAATCTAGAGATTTACTAAAAGTAAAGATGAAATTATACTCAAAGAAGATGTAAAAGGCTATTCTAAAGAACCTATCCCATATAGACTTTTAGTATCAGCAGTTTCAGAAGTATTAAAATAAAACTACATTTAGCATTTCTAAGTACAACTAGGCAAATTTTAAAGACATTATCCAATAGGGAAAAATGTATTACTATAGTAATACTAAATAAATAAAACCTAAGTCTTTTCTATATACTGAATATTATTTCCAGCATCTGTTATAGAAGGAGACTGGAAATGTATAAATAATTCAAATTATTAAGTAACTGTATTAAAATTACATAAATAAACATCTCCGCTCATATTATCTCCAACTCCAAACATATTAATTTTATTAAATACATTTAAATAGTATGGATTTGACTATAGTTTCATTAATTGTTAAAATGTTTTTTTAGAGAAATTATAGATAATTAAATTGTTATCACCACAAACCATTATTAGAAATTTATTATCATCAGCATGAAATAATTAACCAATTATTGAACCAGAAAAATTGGACACTTTTTATTAAAATTAATTTTTTAAATAAATAAATAAAATAATTTTTAAAATATTTATTATAATTTTTTTTAAATTAATGAAAAAAAACTTTTAAAATTGTTGGGATAGGATTTTATATTTCATTAGTTTATTTCCATCTAAAATGAAATTAATTCTCATTTTGAATTTTAAGTTTGATTTTATTGTAATATTACCTATTGAGTATTTGAATGTAAGGTCTATAGAATTCCAAACAAAAATACTTCCATTAACTGCTATTCCAACGATTTCTTAATCTTCTTAGGAATAGAGAGCATAACTTGTATTTTGATTATTTTCCTCTACTTTATCAGAGAGCAATTTAAACTATTATTAAGAGGTAATACTTAAAGCATAAAATAAGAAATTTTCATTATTTTATTTATTAGGTATTCCTACAATAACCCAAATATTTTGATTAATATCTTAGTAGGGATCAATATTGTAGCTTATAGAATCAGTATTAAGATTTATTTAACTTAAATCGTATACCTGTTTTTATATTTATAATAACTTTAATATTTTTGATTAAGATAGAAAGAAAGAAATAATTACTTAAGGAGTGAATGATGAGTCCATTACTTTATAAAATGCTAAGTATGTAGCATCATGCATAGCAATATAACAAGTATTACAGTTTTTTACAGAAACAAATGTATTTTATCTTGCTTTGATTGACTAAACAAGAGGATAAGTAAGGATAGATTTTAGGTTACTTGGAGAATCTTTAGTGACTTAAATTTCAAATAATGTAGAAACAACAAAGTATATTTCTTAATTGAGTTAGAAACTAAATATTTTTGTAAAACCTGTAGAAATAAAAGCTTAATTTTATAGTATAATGGTTAAAATAAATTTATTTTTGAAATTTTATTTTTACTAAAACGAGTGAGCTAAGTGTCTGTACTATATGAATAAACAAATAGAGCTGATTATCCAAATAATCCAGTGTAGTATGGCATTAAAAATTATTGATTTTCTTCTAAATAATACCATTCATTAGTTGGACTTCCTGGTAGTTAAACAGTAAAAGGTTGATTGATATTAGCAAAGCTAAAAGAATCAAATGTATTTGTATTCTAATTATAGACAAAATTTAAATTTATTCTATAAAAAAAATCATAGCTGCTTATGTATAAAGTGCCTTAATTATTTTAAGAATTTGTAAAGCTTAAATTGACTATATCATCTCCTTATTTACCATTTGGTAGATCTATTTTTAAAATTTTAAGAAATTTATAATGAAAATTATTATTATATTTAATCTACAATCAGTCTTGATTAATTTTATCTAATTCGCTTATAAATTAATGATCTAGAAAGCACTGATTTGACGATTAGCTCCTGCTATAAATATAATATCATAACTCTAGTGGAAATCTATTAAGCTATAATTATAACCTATAAAATAAAATAGAGTGAATTATTATACTTTAAAAGACTTAAAAAATTAGTTATACGATCTAGCGAATAATATCCATTGAATGAGAATTCTAAAGTTTTAAAATCAATTGACCAAGTGTAAGCACCATACTAATCAATTACTGCTATAAAATTCTAACCATTTTAAAGCTAAAGTAACTTTGCAGAAGCAATATGATTAGCATAGTCAGAATTAAAAGGTAAAACATTCAAAGATAGAATTAATTTTCCTTCTACAAAGTCAACAACATATAATAAATATGTTGCACCTTTTAAGACACAATAACTAGATCCTTTCATTAAATGCATGCTTTCTAAATTACTGAATGGTATTGTTTATTTAGGTTCAAGAGTATAAGGATCTACATATATTATCTATTATGTATTTACAATTAAAATTTGATTTCTTTCATGTACATACTCCAATTGTAATATAACGTAGGTAGCTTTAATAAAATAAAAATTGTTTTAAAAAAGTATAAACTATTTATTTAAATTTACTCTTAACCACATTCACAATATTATCAATTTCACTAGAAATATCATTGTAATATACTATACTATCAGACTATACACCGTTTTAATAGAATACAGTGTTTATCAAAAGTATATTAGTTTTAGGCAACTTCAAACTACCAGAAATAACATAGTTCTCAAAAAATTTAGGCTCTGTTTTTTAAAATTTATATCATAATGAAATAAAATATTAATTTAATCTTACGGTGCTGCCTAGAAAATGCTTAACATATTTAAGCATTTAAGTTTTGTATTGATTACAATAAGATTATGACTGTTAAATTCAAAGTAAAGAATGATTTACTCATACAATAGATATTTTTTAAACCTTATATTATTACTATTTTTAATTCAAATATAGGTTAAGATTATTGAATTATTTTGTGGAGAGTTTTTTAAATTACTTCAAATGGTTATCGATTATTATTTTTGATATTTCTTATTCTTTTCTTTTACTATTTTTAATTCAATTTTGGTTTGAGATAAGATTACTGAGTTATTTAGTGGAGAGTTTTTTAAATTACTTCAAATAAATGTTTATCGATTATTATTTTTGATGTTTCTTATTCTTTTCTTTTACTATTTTTAATTCAATATAGGTTTGAGATAAGATTATTAAATTATTTCGTGGAGAGTTTTTTAAATTACTTCAAATAAATGTTTATCGATTATTATTTTTGATGTTTCTCATTCTTTTCTTTTATTCTTATATCTCAAATTTAGTATTTAAATATAAACTTCTATATTGAAATTAATCTAAAAAAACTAAAAAATATTCTTTCAACCTTCTATTATTCTATTTTTAATTCAAAAAGAGGTTTGTTTTGAGGAAAGATTATTGAATTATTTCGTGGGGAGTTTTTTAAATAACTTCAAATGTTGATTAATTATTATGTTTGATGTTTCTTATTGTTTTCTTCTTATATTCAAATTTAGGATTTAAATTTACACTCCTATTATAGAGATTTATCTAAAAAAACTAAAAAATATTCTTTCAATCTTCTATTATTACTATTTTTAATTCAAATATAGGTTAAGATTATTGAATTATTTCGTCAGAGTTTTTTAAATAACTTCAAATGTTGATTAATTATTATTTTTGATGTTTTTTATTCTTTTCTTTTATCTAAAATATATCTAGAAAGCTACCTCTAATAACAATAAAGTACTATCCTCAAAATTTTTAATATAATCAATTTAAAGTAATTTTTTTAAAATTACTTAAGTATAAAATAATTTTTACCATTTTAATTTTATAATTTTTAACTTAAAATCTCTTTCAAAAAATAATTCGAACATATATATTATTGATTCAGTAAATTTAAATTAATAAAAATTTGTATTACTGAATGTTTATTTTTAAATGGATTTTTGATAGCTTTATTAAATATATATTTCTATAATTAAACAAAATTTGTCAACTTAAAATAATGAAGACACTTCTTTATTAATTTATTTTAAAATGAAAGAAGATAAAATGAACCAATTTATTATTATAATATTTTAAAATTCATTTATAATCTTTAAAGGACAAATATTTAGAATTTTTTTAAATTTAATTAGTTTCATTGTTTCGGGATTAAATATGATCTACTAAGAATCAAAATAATATTTTGACTTTCTTTTTCTATTCGTACTATCTTTTAGTTTATGTTATATATATTTGTTTGAGATTATTATTGTTCAACTTTTTAGATGTTTTTCTGCTTGGCCGTGTAGATTATAAACTACGACTACTCTTGTAAATGCTTTAAGAAAAAACAGAGTTCCTTTTTCTTCTATTTATTTACTAATTTATTTATTTTTAAGAATTAATTTGTGGCTGGCCTAGCACATTAGGAGTTTGATAGATAATACTAATTGATTATATTTCTTCGTTATTTTCTAAATTCTTATCCAGATTGTTATTATTAATTATATTTTAATCCATTTTTTTGTTAAGTTAAACAGGTGAGGATTTTAAGATAGCTGGTTATATACTTAAATCCTACGCATTTTTTACAAGTCCAGCCATTTACACTTAAAGAATTTTAAATGAAAAAATAAAAACTTTTAATTAATTAAAAAATATTCTGGAA